CCCGGAAGTAACCCTTTCTGGTACTTCCGGGTTGCTGCGGGACGTAACCTGAAAGAAGGTAACATGAAGTGGACGTAGCATGAGGTATGACTGTAAAGCAGTGAAGGCCAAACTTGGCCCTCCAACTGTTTTGGGACTACAATTCCCATCATCCCTGACCACTGGTCCTGTTAGCTAGGGATCATGGGAGTTGTAGTCCCCAAACAGCTGGAGGGCCAAGTTTGGCCATCACTGCTATAAAACAATGGCCTATGTTAAGATCACGTCACAGTCGTTTTCTCAAGTAGCCCAGCATTCTCTGAAATATTAGTATGCCCAAAGTTTTAAAGTTTAGAATTACATGAAGTTTTTATTTTATTTTTATTTCCTTTATTTTGCATTAGGGGAACAGAAAAAGGGCAGAAGACCCGGCTGATTTCATAAACTGATTTAAATTATAATTTACCTGGCCATGCCCTTGTGCAGATTATTCTCGCTTCTAGTTATGTCCCTTCTTCTCTATACAGTGGTACCTCGGGTTAAGTACTTAATTCGTTCCGGAGGTCCGTTCTTAACCTGAAACTGTTCTTAACCTGAAGCACCACTTTAGCTAATGGGGCCTCCTGCTGCCGCTGCACCGCCGGAGCCCAATTTCTGTTCTTATCCTGAAGCAAAGTTCTTAACCTGAAGCACTATTTCTGGGTTAGCAGAGTGTGTAACCTGAAGCGTATGTAACCTGAAGCGTATGTAACCCGAGGTACCACTGTATAGTCCATGTTTCAGCTGTATGTAGATATTGTTTCTATTGTGCAAAGCGTGTTTCATGCAAACCAAAATATTCAGCTTTTTGCCTGTTGGGAGGAAAGTTTGACTGAATATAAGTGAGGTAAATGAACACAGACAATCTTCAGAGTCTCAGAATGTGAGATCTGGCTTTCAAATCGCCTCCTAGTGGGTACTGTGCATAGCTCAGAACAATCTGCATGAGGATCCCCTTAACCACTGAGAGCTGGTGCACAGATGAAAATAATTCCACTTTGCAACAAACTGAAGAGGGCAGAGCTATACAAGCCAGCCCCGCAGCTGCATGGCAGCCCAGCCACATTCCTCAAAGATCTGCTGGAAACGTCAGCTGTGCTTTCCGAAACTGGGCGGATCAGAATAAAGCCGTTCCATCCACTGCTTCTACAAAATGCAGAGATCCAACATGAGAAAAGCGATATCTTTTTTTTTATTTATTAGTCCAACATCTGTATGCAAGCTTTTGATTAACTAGCTTGTTAACCAAGCAAACATTGGTTTCGATTTAGCTTCCTGGTGAAAAGTATTGCGTTAACTCCCAAGACCGCAAATTTCTGCAGCAGCAAAAGTCATGTGCACAAGAGGAATAAAGGCCCCCCCAAAATCATAATCACTGTACAGCTAGCGTGTATTGTTTTATAGATGCCCGCAGCATCTGCTACTGCCAATTTCAAGTGCTTAATAAATTATAAATAGCCAGTCTAACTTGTACTTTTTCATACAGGGCTCTAGGTCCGACCTGAAGGCAGGTAGAAGGCTTTACTCTCCAGGTGAGCGAGAGTGCCTTTAAGAAAAAATAAAAATTGAGACAATTGTGCAGCTTGCAAGCTTCAGCCCAGCAGGAGCTGACTGTGATGGCCTGGGACTCAGACTCGGAACCAGAGGAGTCTCGGTCTGCACCGGATCTTTTGGGGCCCCCCCCCCAAAAAAAAGAAAGGGGGGGAAAAAGAAAAATAAAGGAAATACATTTCCAATTGTATTTCAGTTCAACAATTACTTTGATAAAATACATATTTTGTTATGTGCAAATGGCTTGAGATACCTATTAGGTCCATAAATTACCATACAGTGGTACCTCGGGTTACGTACTTAATTCATTCCGGAGGTCCATTCTTAACCTGAAACTGTTCTTAACCTGAAGCACCACTTTAGCTAATGGGGCCTCCCGCTGCTGCTGCACTGCCGGAGCCCGATTTCTGTTCTTATCCTGAAGCAAAGTTCTTAACCTGAAGCACTATTTCTGGGTTAGCGGAGTCTGTAACCTGAAGTGTATGTAACCTGATGCGTATGTAACCTAACCTGAGGTACCACTGTATAGCATATACAACACACAAAAACAGCGACAATTTGTTGTTGACAGCTGGACATAGAAGGGGCCCCATTACCTTCAGGAGCTGAGGGCCTCATCCAACCTAAATCCGGCCCTGGTCACAGGTGGCACAATCCAAGTGGAATTTTGCCCAGGAAGTCTTTCATATAACCCAAACAACTTTTAAACCTTTCCCCCCCCCTTCTGTGTGTTGCATCTCACACTTTTGGTTAGGGGAGAATTGCACAACCAGAAAGGCAGAAAACTGACATCTAGGCACATCCTGTGTCAATTTCATCCTATTGCATAGGAGGATGTGCAATCCAACTTAAGCCAAAGCAATCTTGCTTTTAGATAAATAAACCATCCTTCACATAAATAGTGGTGATATATCCCCTGTGACTTCCTGATCGCACTGTTTCCAACTTCCCCTTGCTCTGTTTTATCCTTGCCCAACAGCTGAATGAAGACTCAGCCCTTCAGTTGTTCCAGAAAAGGATTCAGCTATTCACTGTGAATGATGTTTGGCATTTCACCCTCTCCCTCTGGTTTTTCAGGATTGAGAGAAAGGTTGTAGAAGACGGAAAGGGGAGGCAAATAGCACTTCGTAGGCAATTCAGCAGGTCATCAAAGAAGGGTGGAAAATGGCAGCTGGATAGCCAAGAAGACTGGCATACCAGGACATCACCAGATCTGATGGGAAATGACAGAGCAGGGCCTGGGGGGGTCGCCAAATGCTCATATATATGTCTTCTGTTATGTACTGAGTTGAATAGGATCCAAATACAGCAGTCTGACTGGTCCTAGAACAAGAGGATTCAGAATGCAGCAGTCTGATTGGTCTGCAGGAGCCGCCCAATCCAGCTCCAGGTGGAAGTGAATCCGCAACCTGATTGGCCTACAGGAGAATCCAGGAATTAGCCAATCATGTGCAGCCCATTGTGTAAATAATGTATATAAAGCAGATATTTGGGGGAACTTTCATTCCTCACTACTATGAGCTGAATAAAGAGCATGAAATCCACACTCGACTCCGAGTATATTTCGTCTTCCATTGTATATTTCTAGGTCAGGAGTGAGCACAAGTTCGACTGATATCTATTAACAGATGACTGGATCAATTGCTGTAGCTCATCAAAGGTTTCCAATTTCCACTCTCTTGGGGGCCCCAACAAAATTTAAAGGGAAAAACAACTGGAAGTACATTTCCAAAAGAGAAGATAAAAAGCAAATAAAATAAAACCTACATCCAGCAACAGTGCTTTGCATTGTGTAGGCTCCTCTGATGTAAGTCATGGGCCCCGCCTGCTCGCCAGCTCCCTAAAATATCCCTGGTTTGCTCCTTTCTATATATAGAAACTGCCAACCTAGCAGTTTGAAAGCACGTCATAGTGCAAGTAGATAAATAGGTACCGCTCCGGCGGGAAGGTAAACGGCGTTTCCGTGCGCTGCTCTGGTTCACCAGTAGCGGCTTAGTCATGCCGGCTACATGACCCAGAAGCTGTACGCCGGCTCCCTCGGCCAATAAAGCGAGATGAGCGCCGCAACCCCAGAGTCGGTCACGACTGGACCTAATAGTCAGGGGTCCCTTTACCTTTATATATAGGGTGCCTACATTGTGCATGGACTGGTTGCATGGCAACATGGGCAAATGGCTTGAGATACCTATGAGGTCCATAAATGACCATATAGTATATATTAAACACAAAAAACAGCAACAATTTGTTGTAGACAAAGGACAGCTGGACATATCAAGGGCCCCATTACCTTCAGTAGCTTAGGGCCTCATCAAACCTAAATCTGGCCCTGGTGCTGGCTTTGGTCCAGAGATCTGGGAGAGGAACAGAAGGCTGCTCAGTCACACACTCAACCCCCCCCCCTTCCCCACCTCTCCACACATTCAATCCAGGGGTTAGGGCTCATGTTTTCCTTTGAGAGCTTGCTGTTTGTAATGGGACGCTATACAAGCTACTTTTTGGATTCTGGACTTTCAGGACTCTGCGCCACCTGCTCATATTCAACTAATAATTATACCCCTGGAGATATTTGCCTTCATGACAAGGGAATCAGGCATCCCATAGATGGGGATGCCGAAATGGTTAAGTGGCTCTGTGCCCGTGATGCTTCTTGCCGCAGAGAGAGAGAAGGAGAGGGAGGGAGCAGCGCTTAAAATCTCAAAGCAAAACAAAAGACTTGAGACAACCTGACAGAGGCATCTCCAAAGCAATCAGGGTATAGGTCATATTTCACATTGCATTAAGCATTGGTACGGTATTCAGAAAGAAGATACCAAAACTCTTTCCGAGGGATGTTCCTTTCATCATTATGTGTACTCTTTGACCTTTTCTGTGCTATTGCCACCATTCTTCACGATATATATATACAGTATATATATTTTCTGGATAGAAAAAGAAGAAGCCTGAATCACACCAGGAAGGTGAAATAAGCTAGAAACAAAGCCTGGCTTAGAGTTTGAAGGCAAACATCTGAATGTACTTAGAAGGAAGGAAACTCCCCCCTCCAAAAAAACTTTCATTTCTTGCTTCTTTTATCCTTAAGCTCGGCAATAAACTAGCACTCCATGGTTAAAAAGTCAGGAGAACAGATGTACGATACAACTACCTCAGGATCCGCCTTTCAAACCCAGGCATGTGCGTTTATGAACGGAGCCCATCCTGAGAGGTTTTTACATCCTACAGCAGGCTTTCCTCCTAGTAATCCTATCACAGATATTTTTATCCCAGCCACTCTGTTCGATCAAAATAAACAAGTGTAAATGTTCGTTCGGGGGCAATATTTTTTTAACAGAGCTAGACGTTTAAAGGTATTGGACACAATCCAATCAGTCTTGGATTTGGCTGGAAGAGGTTTGACCCAGGAGCCCCTAGGGCTAAAAAGGGTAGATGTCTGAGCTGGGATAGCTCAGGTGGTAGAGCATAAGACGCTTCCTCTCAAGGTTGTGGGTTCGAGCCCCACGTTGGGCATAAGGTTCCTGCATCAGAGGGGGCTGGACTAAATGACCCTTGGGGTCACCCGCAGCTCTACAATTCTATGATTTGATGATTGATTGATTGATTGATTGATTGATATAGATAGATGTTGTTAACAACACTACAGTGGTACCTCCGGTTACATACGCTTCAGGTTACATACGCTTCAGGTTACAGACTCCGCTAACCCAGAAATATTACCTCGGGTTAAGAACTTTGCTTCAGGATGAGAACAGAAATCGCGCGGCTCCAGCGCCGCCGCGGCAGCGGGACGCCCCATTAGCTAAAGTAGTGCTTCAGGTTAAGAAAGGACCTCCAGAACAAATTAAGTACGTAACCAGAGGTACCACTGTACTAACTTAAAAAATAAAATAAAAAGTCTTAACTTCCATGTTTTAAATGTTTGTTTTGCTATCAGGATTGTAGTTCCATTTGTGTTTCTCAAGCTGGTCTCTGACCGTAATAAATTTCATGTTTAAGTACTGCTACATTTAGTAGAATAATTTAGCACGTGCTTATATCTCTGCCATTTCAGTTCACAAAGGTTACTTCCACAGCTCAGGGTTGTGGTGTGATGAAAGAGACGTGGGGGTATAATGACAGCCAACGACCACCATGGTAAATTTAATTGCAAAGGTGCCTTAAGACTGGTACTCGTGATAACAAATTTTGGGGAAACCATGATTTTAGACATGCAGCCGCAACTTAACTCCAACATTGCATTTCTGCCCACACAGTGAGGCTTCCCCTTCTTCTCCTTTGCCCTGAAGCCCCTCACCTACCCCAATCTGCTATGGAAAGTAGCCTAACCCTCTGGAGCAGATTTTGGGAGACCCCTGGATGGTGGGAGTTCAAGGGGGAACAGAGGAAGGGGTGGTACTGTTGTGCAAGTGGAAGTCCACAACTGGATGTCACCCAAAACTTTAACATACATAAATATGTGCAAAAAAAAATGAGTTGCCAGTACCCCTCTCTTGATCAAAGTGAACAGCAGAGACAGAGATCCTGGAACTCCCTGCCACTGAGTTCCATCACACGCAAAAAAGCATTTATATATTCTAACTAAAAGGTAAAGGGATCCCTGACGATTAGGTCCAGTTGTGACCGACTCTGGGGTTGCGGCGCTGATCTCGCTTTATTGGCCGAGGGAGCCGGCGTACAGCTTCCAGGTCATGTGGCCAGCATGACTAAGCCGCTTCTGGCGAACCAGAGCAGCACACGGAAACGCCGTTTACCTTCCCGCCGGAGCGGTACCTATTTATCTACTTGCACTTTGATGTGCTTTTGAACTGCTAGGTTGGCAGGAGCAGGGGCCGAGCAACAGGAGCTCACCCCATCGTGGGGATTTGAACCACCGACCTTCTGATCGGCAAGTCCTAGGCTCTGTGGTTTAACCCACAGCGCCACCCGCGTCCCTTTATATTCTATATTCTAACTAGTTAAAAGTTAATATAACTCCAGCAAATAAAAGCCATGATTTTAGATTGTTTAATCACTTAACCATGCCCCTACAGAGGGACTCTGTTCTAAATTCTGAGCGCTGTTTCTGGCCCTGTACTTCTCTAGTTCAGACAGCGATGCTTTTCAGATGTAGAAGAATCCACTTCTCGTATAAGCAGCAATAACCATGCGCACGTAGCATAAGGGAGAATTAAAAACATGCTGGTTCTGTGGAGCTCACAGGAAGCGATATGGATCGCTGGCTATAGAGCACTTTGAAATGAAATAAACTTGTTGATCAGAAGGAAGGACAGAGTTGAAAATAAAAGAGTGAAATCTTGGAACACAACCAGGAAAAAAATTCCCCCACCCCAGGTCTTTCCCTCCGGCCCGTTATTGAAAAATTAGAAATAGTGGAAGAAATTGAGATTGATGTTGGAAAAGTGCTTCCAAATGTTGCAGAATGTAGAATATCTTCAGGTATTTGGACCAAAATTGGAATTGGGAAATATCCAGGTTATTGCTACTGGAGAAAGGATGTAAGACCTTTGCATCACACTGCCTCCAATTCCTCCCACTTCAGGCCGGCTTCTGACTCCTTTATCTTTTGCACCTTGTGAAATAAACTGGTCACTATTTGGAAATGTGGAAAGAAACCTAACACAAGAAGGAGTTGAGAAGCTGATTTCTCTTTCTGCCAAGCGTAGCTTTTCTGAAATCCAGGATCAAAATGGCATTTTAGAGCTTCGTTGGAGTAAGGCTTCAAGGATCTGCACCAGAGTGCCAAGCCTAATGAGCCCAGCAGCTCATCTTCCGTGGGTCTTGCCCCCTTGAAGCAGCTGCAGAGACTGAAGGTCCCCACCCCACAACAGCTACCTAAGTCCCCTCTTCTCCAGGGTTTTCCCCCAAGCAATAACCTCACTTGCGTGGCGATTCCCACCTCCCACCAGTTGGAATAAATAAAGACACAGAACACCGTTATTTTAGGTTAATGGGCAAAAATTGGCCACAACTTTATTGGTTACAGGTAAGAACGGTATTGGCTTAGGCATTGGTCCTATCCTACTATCCGGATTCAGCCTGTTGGCATGAAAACCGGAAAGGGTTAACACCAGCAGGGGGAGCCCTGTGATGCACATCACTAGGAACTCCCCCCGGGGTCACCGCTCGGGGGCATGCTTTAGGCCCTGGCCTCCATAGGTTTTGGACGAGGCAACGCCCCCCAGAATCCTTTACCGGACTACCCTTCAATATTTGGGGGAGGTGATGGCGCTCCCCCAACACATCTACATAATAATACCCCTACCAATGCCTAACCGCCAAACCAAAGATGTTGTGACGATTTGCTACAAGGTAGGCGAAAAAACCAAATGGCCGGTGCCAATTCGCCAAGTGGAAAAAATTCCTACCAAGCCCCTCAACGGTGACCAACCGAAGTCCATAGCAAGGTCAGAAGGAAGACCTAAAGGGTGGGTGGGTGGGAAACCGAATCAGCTGCGTGGATGAAAAGGGGAGATCCTGGGGCCGCGCCGGCCTTAAATGACCCAGGCCACGCCCCTGGAGCCAGGCGATTGGCTGGCTCTGGGTCTGACGTGGCCTGAGGATTCCCCTGGTCGCGTGGGGCTGAAGCCAGCCACCGCGCGATTTTTTGGGAGTGTGAGCCCGCAACACCACCTCCTCCTGATGTCGGAAGTGGCTTTATCGCAGGGAGGGAACCACAGAAGACCCTCAGAGTTGGACCTCATCACCAAACGATGGAGGTGGAGACGCTCATTCAGGTATACTGGGCTGAGGCCATTTAGGGCTTTAAAGGTCAGCACTGACACTTTGAATTGTGCTCAAAGAGGGAGTCAATGTAGGTCTTTCTTTTTTTAACAAAAAAATTATTCATTTTTCATTTTCGTTCATTACACACATCTCAAATTCTTAACTTTTCCTATATATTCCTCCCTCCCTCCCCTCCAAGACTTCCCCCAACTTGCATTTCTGGTTTGTTTCTATTTTCACCCGCTTTGCTATCTCTCAACAGAAAAAGTTATTAATAACATAACATCAAACCTTAATAACATAAAAATAAAATTAAATACACCACCTTATTTCACTATCTTCCAAACATTTTCTGATGCTAATAATGTGGATGTTTATTTAAATCCTGCCATCAAGTCTATTGCCTTTCTTTGTTTCTGCAAATATAATATGAATGGTTCCCAATCTTTTTCAAAGTCTCTGTTGTCTTTTTCTCTTAGTCTTTCTGTCATTTTTGCCAGTTCTGCATAGTTCATCAACTTCTCTTGCCATTGTTCTTTAGTTGGTATTTCTCCAGTCTTCCAATTTTGTGCAATCAACATTCTTGCTGCTGTAGTGGCATACATAAATAAAGTCCTCATTTCTTTGGGTATGTCAATGTAGGTCTTTCAAGACCTGTGTTATGTGGTCTCAGCAGCCGCTCCCAGTCCCTAGTCTAGCAGCTGCATTCTGGATTAGTTGTAGTTTCCAGATCACCTTCAAAGGTGGCCCCACATAGAACGCATTGCAGTAGTCCAAGCGGGAGATAACCAGAGCATGAACCACTCTGGCCAGGCAGTCCACCCTAACACATCATACCTTTGAAGCACATGATGCCCTTTGGAGAATCCTGGGAACTGTAGTTTGTTATGGGTGCTGTGAATGGTAGCTCTGTGAGGGGTGAGCTACAGTTTCCAGGATACTTTGGAATACAAGCATATATGCTCTGAATGTGCTTCAGATGTATGGTGTATGGCAGCCTTATACACACAGCAAAGCAAATCGTTTGTTTGGGACAATGCATTTTCCGATCAGCAAAAGCTTGAGAGCCCTTGACCTTGCGAAAAGAGCAAAGCAGATGAAAGCCGTTGTGGAAAAGGATGGGTTTGTTTGAAACCCCAGGATCATTTGGTGGTGGTAGGGGGTTGGTCTGAGTCACAGCTTTTCAATGCGCGGAGTTGGCAAGGCTTCATCTTCCTTCTCCAGGACTCCACATGTCCAAACTATCACACAGTTGGAGGCCCTTGGCGGCAGCCGGAGAGCAGGATCAGCCCCTCCAGGCAGAGAGGCCCAAGGCTGAAGCCAGAGGGGGCGGCAGCTGCTGCGGCAGAGCCGCCCGAGAAAACCTATCTGGTGCTTTCCTGCATTATGCCTGACTCAAGCTATTAATCTTCCTTTTTCACGAGCAATAAGTGGACTCACAAAATGCTTTAAGGAAAGAACGGAATTAGGAGCTGGAAATTTTTTAAGCCACATGAAAGATCCGAACGGTTTCCGGAGGACCTGGGGGGGTCCACCAAGGTGGGAGAGGGGAGAAGCAGCAGCACCCGTTGGCAGGCGGCAATTGTTTTGTTGCTGCTGCTGCCTCAGCAAGGTATGTGCTGGGAGGGGATTTTTCCGATGGGTTGATAAAATCAAGTGCCGTTTTTGTTCATGCTCTGATTGCGCCCATTGGACTATCCTGCTTCGTTGGGACAGACCTTCTGGGGTCTTAGAACATCACCTTGTCTGCACAGTTAGCTGCACAGCGACACACAATGATCACACACACACACCCAACATTTTCTCATCTGAACAAAAGCAGTCACAGCAGGACAGGGCACGCTGCTGGTTTTTCCACAAAAATAATATTTCTTTCTCCTTTAATAATAATAATATATCATAATAATTTATTATTTATACCCCGCCCATCTGGCTGGGTTTCCCCAGCCACTCTGGGCGGCTTCCAACAGAATATTAAAATACAATAATCTATTTTTTAAATTATTTTTACTGAAGTAAGTGTAATGTCTCTTGTATTTTTTCCATGTAACATTTTGACAAATCAGTTTCATTTGTTGAGACATTAGGAAGAAAAGGGGTGGAGGGGGGAAGATGGGTGGGGGTGGGGTCGGGTGGCGATGTTTCTATTTTGCTTAATGTATGTAGGGTTTGGTGTCAGCGTTGCTTGTGTAGGTTCTCTGCTGTTCACTTGTGTTCCTTTGGTGGTGAGAGAGGTTGGGGCTGGCCTAGGGTGTGGTTGTTTGTTTGTGATTGGCTGTGGTGATCTTTGTTTTCATGTGTGAGTGGGGTGGGTGGGTGTTTTGGATCAGGCTAGCCATATTGATTTGTATGCTGTTGGTGGATTATTGTCATTGTCTTGTTGGGCTGTGTATGTGATATAGGGGAGCCATACCGGGGTAAAGGCGTCTTCTTTTGTTTGTCCCTGTGTCAGTTTCAGTTTATTGGTAATACAATAATCTATTAAACATTAAAAGCTTCCCTAAACATCTCTTTATCCTTATCTCTTTATCTGTCTCACATACATAGTTGTTCTCTTCAGAAAGGGTATGCTCTCCCACCCACCCACCCACCGCAAAATCTAATAGGAAGTCTCAGCTGAATATATTGTGATGCGATGCTGAGAAAAAGGGAGGGACTGCTGTTATGGGACCTGGAATAAAAGGTTGCCCTGGTCCATTGGACAAGCCCAAGGGCGGAGGAAGGGGTGTGTGGTGAGGGCAGGTCGCCCCGGGTATCACCACTGAGAGGGGTGACAAAATGGCGGGAGGCACTCACCGCTTCCCCGCTCCTCCACATGCAGCTGCTGGGTGACCTTGGGCCAGTCACACTTCTCTGAAGTCTCTCAGCCCCACTCACCTCACAGAGTGTTTGTTGTTGGGGAGGAAGGGAAAGGACAACGTTAGCTGCTTTGAGACTCCTTTGGGTAGTGATAAAGTGGGATAACAAATCCAAACTCTCCCTCTCCCTCTCCTTCTCGTGTGGTGTAGTGGTTAAGAGTGGTGGACTCACAATCTGGTGAACCGGGTTCGTGTCTCCGCTCCTCCACATGCAGCTGCTGGGTGACTTTGGGCCAGTCACACTTCTATGAAGTCTCTCAGCCCCACTCACCTCACAGAGTGTTTGTGGTGGGGGAGGAAGGGAAAAGGAGATTGTTAGCCACTTTGAGACTCCTTTGGGTAGTGATAAAATGGGCTATCAAATCCAAACTCTTCTTCTTCTTTAATCTGGGATGAAACAACAACTGCAGGGGTTTGCTCCACAATTCTGAGTGAGACACATTGACCGGACTCCTAGAAAATGTTTGTCACACCTCTCCGTTCTACTGTGATTCAAACTGGAAAACGAAGGTTTCAGGAGAGAGTTTTTTCCACGTCCAAGAAGTAAAATCAGCACTAGGCCATCTACGTCATGTTGCCAGACAACCAGGGTGAAATGCTATGCAAACCCTTCATTTGGAAAATTGATATGTCAAATTCGCAGAAAACATCTTGTGCAGGTACAACAGAAAATGATTATTTGAATGACTGCACCCTGGACAAGGTTTGGAACATATGTTTCGCATAGATGCGCCACATACCCATGGTATGTATCTTTCAAGAGAGTCAATGCACAAAACCCAGGGCAATAAATCAACAAGACAATAGCCAGTCAAGGAGCCAAGTCCTGACTCATTTGGGACCATTCACATATAAATATGAATACCCTGGTCCATTTCTTTCTCTAGGGTCATAATGCTGGTTAGGAGCTAGAAGTATAATTCAGCTTTCAATCGTTTTCTTGGAGGGGAGGAGATAATCTGAAAAGAGGTTCAGGGAATTGTCCCAGAATTTGCATTTGCTTTTGTACAAAAATATTTTTGGAGACAATCAAGAGCGTCCTCTGTGGAAGATTAGCATGCTCAACGGTTTGAGTTTAACTTTTTTACAAGCACGCATCTTAAGACGTATGTCGTTAGGTAAGTGCATGCAAATTACAAACCTACAAATATACAATATACAAAATTTACAAAAATATAGAGATTCTTTTCCTACTGTACTCTGCATAAATTAGTCTTCCTGAAAAATTGAGTCCATGCAAATCTTCACATCAGTAGTACTCACTTCCAACAGTGCCATCCTATGCATATCTACTCAGAAGTCCTGCTAATTTTTTGGGGGGGGAGGCTTTCCACAAAGAATCCTGGGAACTGCAGTTCACCCCTCACACAGCTATAATCCCTAGCACCCTTAGCAAACTACAGATCCCATGATTCTTTGGGGAAAAGTCATGTGTTTTCAATGTATGGTGTGTATGCAACTTTTAAAAGGTAAAGGTAAAGGGACCCCTGACCATTAGGTCCAGACGTAACCGACTCTGGGGCTGCGGCGCTCATCTCGCTTAATTGGCTGAGGGAGCCGGCATACAGCTTCCGGGTCATGCGGCCAGCATGACGAAGCCGCTTCTGGCAAACCAGAGCAGCGCATGGAAACGCCGTTTACCTTCACGCCAGAGTGGTACCTATTTATCTACTTGCACTTTGACGTGCTTTCGAACTGCTAGGTTGGCAGGAGCAGGGACCGAACAATGGGAGCTCACCCCGTCATGGGGATTCGAACCACCGACCTTCTGATCGGCAAGCCCTAGGCTCTGTGGTTTAACCCACAGCGCCACCCGCATCCCTAATCACGCCTTGTAGCCCTGCTCAATTGAATATCAAGGCGTATATGGGAGTATAGGGTTGTAGAATATGTGGGATGTCCCACTGTAATTTCAAACCCTCTTTTCTACACACATTTTAACAACGGCTGTTCTTTAGAGAGATATACTGTTCAAATGTAAGTAATTATCATACCACTCACATGATTTAGTGTTAAATTATGTGCCCAAAAAAATCCAAAGTGTGCTGAAAAATATCCTTCCACAGATAAAGATGTTTTGTGCACTAGAATATCTGTCAAGAGCACACAGTGTAACAAAGCAATTTGAGTGTGATCTCATGATCTTCTCATTTGAAAGTACAGAATGCAGACTCTGAACTAGGGAAGTTTCTAGGAACGGAGCAAAGTTCTCTCTTGAATAGAGTCTCCTACAGAGCTCCATATATCACAGAGGCAGATGTTTTTTTTTGGGGGGGAGGGGAATCTAAACTGCACTCCGGTGAGCAACCAAAAGGATATCCATCATTCGAACCCAGTGCTGAAGAAGCCCATGTCCAGGAGGTAGGGAGTCTTATATAATTACCAGGCTTTGGCCCACAGAAATAGGAAATGTTTCTTCACTGGGTGTGCAAAAATAAATGGGAACCAGGCAGAGGGCCTTCTCGGTGGTGGCGCCCTCCCTGCGGAACGCCCTCCCACCAGATGTCAAAGAGAACAACAACCACCAGACTTTTAGAAGACATCTGAAGGCAGCCCTGTTTAGGGAAGCTTTTAATGTTTGATGCATTACAGTATTTTAATATTTTTTTGGAAGCCGCCAGAGTGGCTGGGGAAGCCCAGCCAGATGGGCGGGGTATAAATAATAAATTTATTATTATTATTAATTATTATTATTATTATTATTAAATACATTGTCTAACTACCGATCTTGCATGGGCAGAGTTGGAGGAATGGAGTGTGAAATGTCTTGACATACATAGGGACAAACGATGGCAAGTTTTCCCCAATTTATTGCATTACTGCTGGGGAAAGCCAGCCGTACGGGAGGGGTATTAATAATAAAATTAAATAATAATAATAATAATAATAATAATAATATTCATTACCCTTGTGTTGAGTAAACCCATATTTACAGGGAGGAAGCACTGGAATTAGTGTTGAGGGAAAGATCATGTGGACTATGCAGATTAAAAGGGGAAGCAAAAAAACTAGAAACACACAGTAAACTCTGGTGTAAACAAGCCCTGATTCTCTTTTAGGGGATTGCAAATATCAGGTTACACCTAGGATTCTGGAATGAAGCAGAAATAGCTGGTCCCCATTTTTGAAAATGTAAAAATCCCAGCTCCTGTTTTCATGCATTTGGATTATAGCCCAAGCCTTCGCTGTTCCCCACAGGGAAACAGTGGCCATAAATACTTGTGATTTGGGGGGGGGGGGGAGGGAACTAGGAAACACACAACACACACAGTTTTCGCTGCAAAACAATTAAATATATTTATTTCCATATGAAAAACATGCATATTTATGTACACTTTAAAATCAACTTTTACATCTAAAATTCTTTTTCATACAAAATTTTGGTGAGATACAGCAACGGCTCAACATTGCAAACGGGCATGGCAGTAATCTTCACATTAAAAACTGTGGGAGCAGCCAACCCAAAAATGGTTTAAGAAAGGGCACCTGCACTTAGAATATATTAACCGTACTGAAGTCAGCTGAGATCCATAGAACAAAAGTTATAATCCTGAGCTCCTTTACTTGGCAATAAAGGCTAACAAAAATCAGTGGAACGTCTTCCAAATTTGTTCCTGGACTTGGGTATCAAGTATCTTGCAACCAAATTCCAAACATGTTTATACAGGAATAAGTTCCACTCATTTTAAAAGGGACTTCCTTGTACATATGATTCGGATTGTAACCTTAAGTGCAAATACACTACCTTCAGTCGGTTGGCTATCACAGTAGTCTCTCTCTCTCTATTGAGACACATTGGTGACCATCGAAGATGGCCGTTTAAGAATCGATTCGACCGAAAACGACAGGGGTTCATGGGTTGACAATTTGGTCATGGCTTGTTTCGTCCCCAAAAAGTCTTTTGCATATTTGTCAATGGCAAGCTTGTATTTTTGGTTTTCTTTGATGGTGGACTCTCTGTATTTCTTGGAGGCCTCGTCCAATGTTGCTTTTAACTCCGGCCCCGATTTGCTGTGGAGTGTCTGCTGGAAGAGCGAATGGAAAGGACTATATTTGCCGGGGGGCGACGGATGCTGCTTGCTGCTTTCTTTGCTGATCTTACAGAGCGAGTGTTCCTGCGGGACCAGAGTGTCCTTGTCAGAGATCTGAGAAAAAGTCCTCTTAGGAGGCGAGAAGGCCGACCTGTCACAAGTCACCTGAGGGAGATTCTGGAGTTCATTTTGAGGCGGCTGGATTTCTCTAACATGAGGAAGCAGGAAGGAGGGCTCGCTCTTGGACGACATCAAATCATGCTCCGAGCTCGGACAGTCCTGACCTTGCGAAGCCTTGGGGTCCCAAATCGCCCCAGGCTTGAGGGACTGGACAGCGGTAGCGTTGAGCAGGCACTGTTGGTAGAGGAGAGCGTCGTTCAGGGGGCTGCACTTTGGCCACACCAGGAACCTGGAGGGCAAAGGATACTGCCGGTACGTAGTGGCGACACTGACATTGGACGAAATCAGTTCCATGTTCCCTGAACCTGAATATTGCATTGTTAGATCCAAGCAAGTGGGGAGGAAGCCACAAAACTCCTTATTGGGAGCTTCGACGTGGTTAGGGCTAAAGGCAGTTTTGTAAGTGTTGTATTCAGTCCCATGCACCATGCGGTTAGGCAGGAAAAAGGCCGCCGCTTGGGTCGCTTCCATCATTTCTCTTTCTTTGAACTCCCTCTCCAGCATGATATTCTCCAATTCTTTATCAGCAAAAGCCCGCCTTTTCCTCATCCTGTCACTCACAGGAGGTGGCAAGGATGAATTCCCTCCAAGGTAGGGATCTGCTGGAATAGGACGGTAACCTGCAGAGAAAGGAAAACAGAAACAAAGATGGAGTCAGCTATTTATCCAAAAAAAGTGTTCTTTTTATCAAAGGGTCGAGTAGGATGTTAAAAGAGTTACCAAATTGAAGGAGCCAAGTATTTGTTGCTTGGTCATTGGTGCCCTCAGTTCTCACTAAGGTTTTGTTGTGGTGTGTACAGCACTTTGAAACATTTGTGACAATTTCCTGCTATCCTTATCAATTGGTGGCTTCATAATTATGAGTCGATGTGAGCTCTTCTTGACACGCTTCCCGAGTATCATCCAAAGCAAAACTTGTTAACCTTCCTCCACAATAAGCTGCAGATGCACAATATACCTTTCAAGCGTACTCAAAGGACATTCATTCCATCAAATAATAGAGAGTTACAACTCCAAGCAACTCTTAACAATCTACAGTGCCCAGAATTCTTTGAGGGGTGACATGTCCTTTGAATGTGCAACATGCATGAGCCGTCTTCAGGCCAGAAGTTCATGCATCTCACTAGGGAGGAAGAGATGCACGTTGTTCTTCTGACATTATATAGGAGGTGCAGAAATGGAAAGTGCAAGCAAGCACATGGTTTTGTCATCACCCACACCGATTTTCACCATGCCCAAAGTCACGCTGCTAACCTCTCTCTCTCTCTCTTTCTCTCTCTCACACACACACACATTAAGAGAGGTTCTTCACATTCCCGTGTTATTATATTGTTTCTGTTTCTTTGTTGAGGGACTTATAATATCATCACCAAAGATATCTATACCTAATAGCTGGTGCATTTCTATTTTCTAAAGGTGAATCACTATGTGCACAGAGATGGTAGAAAAAAGTCCAAGGAATACTAGGAGAGAAGAGAAAGAAAGTTAAGACAAATAAGGGAAAGGGATGCAAGAAAGATTTTTCTCTTGGGGAGACAGTATGTTAGAGAGTGAGTGAATACTGAGACAAAAATAAAAACATTGGAGGCAGATAAAAAGAATCTATACAGACCTAGGATTGTATTCTAATCTGGAAGCGCAAACTCAGTCTAATAACCTTTACTTTCCCAAACTTCCAACATTAGATTAATATTCTTCCACTCATACAGCAGGACTTCCTCTGCTCTCTTCCAGAATCCCCCAAATCAGCTCCACAAAGTCCTCCAATCTCTGGAGCAGATTGGGGGAGTTCGGGGGCTACAGAGGGGAGGGGAGGAAGATAAAGTCCCACTCCATGAGCAGAAGTCCATTCTGCTCGCCCACAGACACTGCTGAAGTTCACCAACTGTCTTCATGATCTCCCTTCTCTAAGTGGCTTGGTTATTACCATATTTTTTGCTCTATAAGACGCACATTTTCCCCTCCAAAAATTAAGGGGAAATGTGTGTGCGTCTTATGGAGTGAATGCAGGCACCTTGGCTTCAGTGATAGGAACGCGAAGCCTCCAAAGCGCCGTTGGAGCGCTCCCGCCATGCTCCGGAGGCTTCAGGTTGCCTTCACTGAAGCCTGGAGAGCAAGAGGGGTCAGTGCGCACCAAGCCCTCTCACTCTCCAGGCTTCAAGGATAGCTACCTGAAGCCTCCGGAGTGCAGTGGGAGCTCCCGCTGCGCTCCGGAGGCTTCGGGTTCCTTTCGCTGAAGGGTAGGTGCCCCTTCAGCTAAGGCACAGCGCCCCTTCAGCTAAACGGGAGGAGAAATGGAAGGGGCTCCGTTTCCCCTGCCGCTTCGCTGAAGGGGCGCTGCACAGAGAGGGGGAGATTTTTTTTTTCTTGTTCTCCCCCTCTAAAGCAAGGTGCATCCTATGGTCGGGTGCGTCCTATAGAGCAAAAAATACGGTAATTGCAGACGTTATTCAAAAAACTTGAGATTCCAATACAGTGGTACCTCAGGTTACATATACTTCAGGTTACAGACTCCGCTAACCCAGAAATAGTGTTTCAGGTTAAGAACTTTGCTTCAGGATAAGAACAGAAATCGGGCTCTGGCGGCGCGGCAGCAGCAAGAGGCCCCATTAGCTAAAGTGGTGCTTCAGGTTAAGTTTCAGGTTAAGCACGGACCTCCGGAACAAATTAAGTACTTAACCTGAGGTACCACTGTACAAGAAAAGATATGATGAGTTATCCAAGCCATTTTCAGTAATTGGCATTGGCCGGCAAAAAAAACCAGAGCCCCTTCAGTTAAGAATTTGCATTGGTTTTTTTTCTAATGGCACATAACCTCGGAGCTGCATTTAAAAACTATCAAAGCTAGATGCATTTGCTGCCGGCTTTTAAAGATTCGGCAGCATCTTAACAATTTATATTAAACTGGTCTGGGAGCAGGAAGCGATCGTATTTATTTTGCCCTCGGGGTGGTTCCATATGGCAGTTTGTTGCGGGATGGGTGCTCCTCATGCATGGACATTTTCTTCATTGTCCACACAACACCATTGGCATCAGAGTGACAGCCTGCTGTTTTTCTCCATTTAAATCCAGTTTTACCCATTCTGGAAAAAATCCAGTATTATTATCATTATTTTAACCCCTGTCGCTAGTTACCTGTTTGCAATATCTGAATGAGCTGTTTATGGTATTAAGCCACTATCTGGGAGGGCTCTTAGTGTAACCCATATATATTTTACGGTGCATCCAAAAATTATTGACTGCTCACAAAATATTCACTCTGTTGAACAGGAAATGAGCAGCCCCATTCTATCCTATTCGCTCCAAAATGGAGTTCGAGTTCAGTGGCATTTATTCCCAAGTATTTCGGCCGGGACATGGAAGCTGTGTCCCTGCCGTTGCTGCCAGGCTCCCCTCACCCCCAGCCAGCATGCTCAGTGGTCAGGGATGGTGGCAGCTGTGGTCCCACAACTTATGGAGAGCTAACGGTTCTCCATCCTTGACTTAAGGCAACTACATACATACATACATACATACATACATACAGTGGTACCTCGGGTTACATACGCTTCAGGTTACATACGCTTCAGGTTACAGACTCCGCTAACCCAGAAATAGTGCTTCAGGTTAAGAACTTTGCTTCAGGATGAGAACAGAAATTGTGCTCCAGCGGCAGCAGCAGGAGGCCCCATTAGCTAAAGTGGTGCTTCAGGTTAAGAACAGTTTCAGGTTAAGTATGGACCTCCGGAACGAATTAAGTACTTAACCCGAGGTACCACTGTACATACATAGCCCAGTCCTTTGTTTCTATATCCACAGGTAAGTCCTATGAAGTCCAGCAGAACTTGCTCCCAAATAAATGTGCACAGGAATGTTACTGTACGTTGTAAAGTTGCAATGGAGATGCAGCAAAATCAAAAGTAGGTTTTTTTGTCACTGACTTGGACAGGAATTGGTTTTCATCACCAATGTCTGCCATACAAGTCTAAATCCACAGATTAGTAAAATGTGCATCACTTTTTAAAAAAAAAATGTACTCATGGGCTCGTTTCCCAATAGCTGAGCTTGTTTTGAAATCATTAAATATAACTAACCATTTTTCTATTAAAGGAAAAACAAAACTTCAAATATTGTCATAGTATATTAATTTTCACATTATACTAGCTTAGCTTTTGTTTCTATTTTAAAATTTGGAACATTTGTTAAAGATACAGTTTCCCCAGATAATAAATTCTTGGTTGGTTTGTTTTTTCAAAAACAAAGGATCTCTTACATTCAAATTCTCAAAATACTTTCCCTGATCAGACAATCAACAGACCAAAATCCAAGCAGAAGGTGGTAGAATTAAAATGCAGGACATATTTGACAGGGATGGCTTGGTGGAGGTCAGGGATTAGTTTACTGAGCCATCATTGCTGTTAATTAGAAGTTGTTTGCGCCAAGTATTTGTTTCCTTTTGTTTTTCCTCAGTATTTTCTGCATTTCCATGTTAGTGTTGACATTTGTTTAGCTCCTCAACCAACTGCTAAGTGACCTGCATGATTCTTTCCAGCAGAATAGAATGCATTTATGAATATTGTCCTCGGCTGATTCCAGTTCCTTCTGTGCTCATGATGCAGTCATCAACAAATTGCCATACAAGCAGCATCTATAGGGTGTTTTGGTTTTTTTACATGTATAGCCATGATCCCACACTGAATCTCTTCTGCTTAAGCACACTAAAATCAGTGGACTTAAGTGAATCTGACTCTGTGTTGAGTTAGCTGTTACAATTGGGTTTCTTCGTCTAACTTCCTGAAATCTTCTACATTCAAATTAATAAAGGGAAATGCAAAAGATGAATATTTCAGTAACAATAACCAAGATATTTAAAAACTGAAAAGTTCAAAGTGCTGAAGTGTATTACCTTCTAAGATGCTTTTTGCCAGCAAACTGGGTGTCCGTACTTGCCTCTGATAGACTGCCTTGCGCTCAAAGTTGGCCTGTTTCCCTGTAAGCCCCTTCTTATCCTAGTAAAAAAAGGGGGGGAATGAAGTTTTAAAATCACCAGCTCCGCAGATTATTTCTTACCCCCTGATGAATCCCTGTTGTACTCTTTTTAAAATTGTGATATGAAAGAATAGGAAAACAACTTTTCCAAATTCATAAATTAGGGTTCGTTAATAGTAATAGTCGTGAGAATAATTGGCCCTGATTTGTATGAGTATTCTTCAACACTTACGCATGCTCTAAACACATTATTTAGAAAGAAGGGACTTTCAAGTCAAAGTGTTTAGGGCCCAGGTGTCAAACTATGACTCTAAGCATAGCTTAGCACTCGGCTTCTGAAGAAGAGCAAGGACAATTATCTAGCCAGGGTCATGCATACAGTATATTCTCCTTTACCTGCATACTCAGAAGTGTACAAGTGCAATAAATATACTCAATAAATATACATGGGATTGCAACCTTAAACATCAGCTGCTGACAGGAAAAAATTAAGTGTGTTTAGCTCTGCAAATGAAATAACATTAAAGACAGCTGAATTTGTCTGGGAAATGTTGAATGTGTTCAAATTCAGGGTGTTCCAGAAAAGACCAGAGGGGCAAGGGAAAATGAATACTGCATTCTTGAAAATTTAAATTGGGGGGGGCTAATTGTGCATGATTCATCACTTCCCCCCAAAAAAATCTAATGGCAGACTTCATTTTGTTAAACACTGACTGACAAAGATCTGACAGAGATTAACGCTGCTAGATCGAAAATTAAAGTGACTCCACATTTGATTGAGATATTCTGCGTATAGGAGGGTGTTTTAAGAAAAGTGCTCAAGTTCCTGAGGAGCAAGCTAAAAACAACGTTAAGCGGGGAAATGTCGACTGTAAAATGGATTTTACAGTCTGGATTCGTTTGGCAACAAACCCAGATTCTACGGTCTGGATTGGCTTGGCAAAGGAATTGTGCCTATCGCGCCTTTAATTGAATCATCTCTGAAGGCTGGAAAATCCTCGCAGACAAGGCAGAGGTGCATAGCAGCAGGGAGAGCTCGTCGCTCAAGTCCTCGTGCCCGGAGTGAAGTCGCATCAGCCAGGCCGGACAGACCTGGTCAATGTGGGACCCAGATGCGCATTAAGTAGACCCCGGTCCTGCCACCTTAAGGCCAGAGTGAGCCACCACCGGTTCACTGCCAATTAAATGCCAAACACACAACCCCCACCCGTCCTATGGACCGGTTGGCTTGGAAGTGACATTTCCATGCTTTCGAGTAGGGCGAAGATCCACGGCAGGAAATAGAATTATTTCTGAGCAAAGGCCGTTTAGATGGCAGCTCGCAATAGCGGCTAGCAGTTTGCATCGTCCTGAAAGCGAGGCATCCCCTTCATTCCACCTGGTTGCCTTTGTAGGGAAAGAAACGGGGGGAAAAGGGGGTATTTGCGGAGCTTCCCCCCCACTTTGCAAAGCAGAAAAGAAGCGGGACATAGGGCTGGGGGAAGAGCTCTCCGCTGGGTCCCCGGGCCGGGCGCTCACCTCGGTGGCCTGCTGCCGGCGCAGCGCCACTTGCGCGGCCATGACGCGCTGCCTCTCCACCACCAGCAAGCAGTTGGCGCACTGGCAGTCCCGCCAGCGGCAGAAGCGCTTGTGGCCCTTGAGGCACGACACCACGCCGTGGTTGCGACAGCGCGCGCACTTGGGCGTCCGGCTCAGCTTGCGCGCAGGCGGCTCCCCAGAAACCGCCGCCTCAACGGGCGGCTGCGTGCGGGGTGGCGGAGGCGGCGGAGGCAGAAGAACGCGCCCGCCCGCTCCTTCGTCTTCCTCGCGGTCGTCGTCGTCCTCTTCGTCGCCATCCTCCTCTTCCTCCTCTTCTTCGTCAGCGTCGTCGTCTTCGACAGCCTCCAGTCGAGGGCCAGGAGGCGGCGGCGGCGGCTCCATCCCGTCCGCGTCTTCCAGGCTCTCCACGTCGATTTCCCAGACGTCTCCGCCGCGGGGAACTGGCGTCCCCTCAGCCATGGCTCGCGCCGCGCGGCTCCCGCCTGCTCCTCCAGCTCGCTCACTGCAAGGCAGAGATAGACAGATCGATCGATCTTTGGATTAGGCGCGCAAGAAGGAGAATCGCATTTGCGCGCGCGGCCCTACGTCGCCCGCTAGCCTAAGAGACACTGTCAAGTCTCGCCGACGTTCGGAGGGGTTTACTTTCGAGTAAGTGTGCGGTTCGGGGAAAAGACCCGAGAGGGTTTTTCTGGCCTCCTAACCTGCGCTCAGGCGCCCAAAGCTCTCGCTCCACTCGGTCTCGCCAGCGCCCAGCGCTCAACACATTTCCACACAGGCAGAATTATTTTCCCACCACGCAAAATTCCGGCTCAGAGGCCGAGGGGGATTTCTGGCCCGACGTGCGTGGTTCTGGGGGTCCCACGGCGGGCAACACCGCCAGCACGTAAAGGGGATTCGCTCCTCCTGCCCCAGCGGGAGAGGGGGGATCGCATCACCACGGGGATCTCAGGTGTCGGGAAAGAGACCGAGGTGACGCCTGCTCCTTGCGCGCCTTTGGGGCAAGAGGAAGAAACGGCGCGCTTGGGCGCCGCAACGCGAAGCCCACCAGAAATCCCCTTGATGGCTCCCCACTTGCTCTGTCCCCAAAGGCCGGAGCGGGCTCTCCCTCTCGCCACAAGCCCACCTGGACGAGGCAGCGCTTCGAAAGAGAAACTGACGGGATGTCGCTCACCTGTGACAGAGGACACTTTTGTCCAAAGGCCTTACATAAGCCTAGCGCGCACGCACAACAGAAAGGGTAACAAGCTCTTTCCCCCCCCCCCAACAAAAGGCCTGCCCCCCCCCCCCGACAAAAATCCTGGCTACGCCCATGAACACAGGCGATGTGTTCGCTTCTCCAGGGATCGGTTTCTTTCTCCAGGGATTCTTTCCTGCCCGGTCTCTGCTCAAGGCGCAAGAGCCCTTCGTAGGCACGTGTCCCAAAGCAGTTTGAGCCAGTGTGTGGGCGCGTGGCCTCTGAGCATGTGAAGGCTGCCTGGGTATTAAACTACATGCGAGCAGCCTTTTTTCGCCACTGCACGCGCCTCCTCGGATTAAAAGCAGGACTCGATTGTGTGATTTTACTTGGTGCGCACCGTTTCTCTTAACCACAGTGCTTTGTCGAAAGACCCTGCAAAATAGGACGCTTTTGGAAGCTTTTAATGTGTGTGCGTGTTACACTGTGTATATTATATATCACTCCTGTTCAAGTAAAGATGATGATCCTGCCACGCTTTTTAAAACACTGAAAAGAATTTAATTTCATGTATTGTTTCCCTTGTTAGAGGCCAGTCTACTCGGAATAAAAACCATCTTCCGCTGCCTTTTCAAGGATGAAACTCTGGGAAAGTAGCAGCCGTCACACTTGCAGTTCCCCGAAAGGCGCACATTGGTGTCCTGATTTGAGCTTGGAGACTGCTGGGGACTCCGGCTGCCACGCTAAGCCCAATTCTGAAAGTCCCGTTGATTTACTGGATTTCCTAGTGCGCCACGTTAGCTGGATATAAATGCAATTAAAATAAATGAATGCAAATCGGCGATTTGTAGATTGGTGGATATCTTTCCCCTCTAGTCCCAATCCCATTTTATTCGGTAACTATTTGTTGGCATCCGTCTGTCTCCAGAGACAATGGAAGTGCGCCGGTAAACTCATACTGTCGCAGAGTATGGTATGGCGAGAAGGAATGATAGCTGGAAAGGAACGCGCCGATCTACAAATCACTGAAACGTTTACTTTGCCCAGCGTACACTAGCATAAAACTGTGTTCATTGTTAAGAGTATATTTCACGGTACAGAACTGCGTTGACCAGGAATTTGTCGTGTGTTTTGGTCTTGCTGTCCAAACACAGAGAACCTTGCACGTTTGAGGAGACATTTTTTTCCAAATTAAGGCAGGATACATGCCCCCCCCCAAAAAAAAACACCACAATCGCCTACACCCTTCTATTTTCCAGCATGAAAGGACAGAGGCTTCTTCCACTCAGCGCTACGCAGGTGGGAAATGGCCATCTCAGGATGCTACAAAATATCCTCACCGCCTGTGGCCTTTGACAGGCTCGAAACTCATTTATACAAAAGTGGCATTTCCCGGTGTGTTTTGGGCTGGAGATTTGCATGCGTGCAGATCCCAAAACCGGGGGGGGGGAGGGGAGAGACCTGGAATTTTGTTAAATCCGAGTCAACTCACCAGGCCTTATTTCCAAAAATCAAATTAGGGGGTGAGCTGTCGCTGCGTCTAGCAAGGAAAACTTATTCCCGATTAAGGAGAACGCGCGCGCTCTTTTATTCCTTTTGCCACCTCCCCAATACACGCCACGACAAGCGGTTCCAGAAGGTGCTCCACAGGTGCTCCAGGAAGAGGCAGAGTGAGATAGAGAGGAGAAAAGGCTACTGCTGAGCGTTATTACCATCAAAATGTTAAGAACCAGCCACGGTAGCGAGTAGCCACTCGTCTGGGGAAACTCTGGCTGTCTGGCTCCCTGTGCGCCAGCGAGCAAGGGCGCACCCAACCGCGCGGCTCCCCCTTGCCACTCACCCAAGCGACGCGTCCCGGCCACGGCACCCAGTCCCGCCGATGCTGAGCTGTCTTGGGCGCGCGCGGAGAAGAAAGCCTCGTCAAAGCGCCGCCAGCTTCATCCCTCCGGGCAGCCTGCGCGCCAGACAAGTCTCCGCGCCTGCGATCTCAAGAACCGGCTGAGAAGGGGCGCCCGATCTCCCTGCGGAGGAAGAGGGAGGATGAGGCCAGGGGACGGGTCTGCCAGGCTCTCCTGGCCACGAGCCGCGATGCGCGCAGCTGCTCCGCGGCCCTCTGCGCTGGCTGTGCGCGCGCCTCTCCCGCTGCCTGGTATTATCCGTCCCAGGGCCCAGGACGCCCGGACACCCCATTGGTGGGTTGTCAGGCCGTGCGCTCCCTGATTGGCTATCCGGGAATTCAAATAGCTCCTCCTCCTCCTCCTCCTCCTCCTCAGCTGCCCGCCCCTCCTGCTGTTTTTTTCCAGCTCACCCGCAGCAGTTTTCTTTTCTCCTCATTGCAGGGTCACCTTTTATTTACCACCAGCAGCCAAGGAGTTGTGCGTGAAAGACTCTGTTTGCGACCAAGGTCTGAAATATCATATATCATATCATGATATCATATTATATCATATATCATATCACACACGCATGCTAACGAGAGGCTTGAGATGCGGGATTGAGGAGGTGAGAGTTCTTTTCAGGGGCCAAAAAGGAGCGAGGAGGACAGGCACGAATATCTTCCAGAACTATAAAAGCCGCACGGAGAATCCCTTACTGCAGCTCTGAGGTCGCAAGAATAAAAAGAAATCTCAGGAATCCGAAAACAGTTTACAACCTCTGCAGCTAATGAGGATTTTTTTCCTTCTCAGATGCTAACGAATAATTTATATATTTTTTTAAAAAAATCCAGGCACCTGAACAAATAATATTATATTCCCAGCGTTCATATTTAATTTTCGCTTCAAAAAAACAACAAAAAACAAAAACAACGGCAACAGTGGGTTTGATCGGGATTGCTTGCCAGTTAAATCCGGCGAACAAGTTCGTCCCGATCCAAGTTCCATTGGTCTCAGTGGGAAATAAGAGCAGTTAAGGGACAGTGAAATTCTGTGCAGAGGTGCCAACCTGAATGAAATATTGGGGTGGGGCAAGCCCTGCCCCGCATAATCGATCACAAGATGAGACGCGCGCACACTATTTGAATGACAATGCCCATCAACTGGGGAGGGGCTCGGCCCCCTCAAATATCTTAGGGGGGCTGAAGAGACCTCGGTCCCTAGCAGTTGGCTCGTACGACCCCATGCAAGCTTGCTCAGAAGGAAATCTTGTTGTATTAAACTGGACTTACTGCCAGGTAAGTGTGCATATGATGGCGCTATTAGTCTGGATCCAACCCAAGATTTCCTACGGTGAAAATAAAAGTGAAATGTTTATTCTGTTTCCATTTTCTTCTTAGTTTGGTTTTGGTTTTTATTTTCCTTTAGAAAACGAAGACTGTAACTCTCCCTGGTGCGTTAATTTTTCTTTTCGAACGTAATTTATTTCCCATAAGTGGAAGAAACACTTGAAAGAAAAAGGCCTTGTTTATTCTGAAATTATGAAAACAAAGAAAGAGTTTGCGTCAAATGGAGTATTCAGATTAAATCAACATCGCCACTAGTTGTCGGTACAAATTATATATACAACGGTTTTATAACAAAATAGAATAATGTTTTTTATCAGCAAAATCATGACCTATGTTCGGAGACAGCTTTATACACAAAACACATAACTTATGTTTATACTATTTATATATCTATATCTTTTGCAGGGTCATATATACATACAAACAAACGCCAGGAAAACTGCCTAATCTTCTTCGCTTGACTAAACTTTCTAGTTTAGGGAACAAATGCTCTCGGGTTAGCATTTTAATAGCACAGGTTGTCCCCGTGTGTGAATATTTATATGCCTGTAGAGTTTTACATATACTTCCCCCCCCCCTTTCTGTTAACAGTAACAACAGAAAGGCAAGGTGTGTTTAAACCCTTATAAAACGCGCATATATTCTTTGTCACAATCTGTTCTAGGTATGACCAGTGAAAGTCGGTCTTTAAAAACCTTCCGGAAAGCGGGCGATCCATCACCCCAGATGTTCATTGCCTGCATCCTTTGGCCGAGACAATGCTTTATTTAATAAATCAGTATTAGCTATGTGTTTGTTTGTGTTCACAGAACTGGTCCAAATGAAGACTAACGATAGTTCTCAACTAAGGACAGTTCTCAAGGCAAGAATGTAAAAAAAATAAAAGCATAGCAAACACTCCTGTTCCCTGAAAGACATGGGTATTCTCCAGTTGCTGCTGTTTTTCTGGTGGAAATGAAATGGAAGTGATTTTTCTCTCTCTAAGTGATTGCAATGGAAAGAGCTACCGATGCTACCGATATTTTATTACAGTGGTACCTCGGGTTAAGTACTTAATTCGTTCCGGAGGTCTGTACTTAACATGAAACTGTTCTTAACCTGAAGCACCACTTTAGCTAATGGGGCCTCCTGCTGCTGCTGTGCCGCCGGAGCACAATTTCTGTTCTCATCCTGAAGCAAAGTTCTTAACCTGAAGCAATATTTCTGGGTTAGCGGAGTCTGTAACCTGAAGCGTATGTAACCTGAAGCGTATGTAACCAGAGGTACCACTGTACAGTGGTATCTGCTCCTACGCCAAAGCAGTATTACCAATAATATTTCCCCCCCTCCACCAGTGATAGAACTAGGAATGCCAATCTGACCGCATCATCCTTTCGATTGTTAAATGGCTCTCTTCCGATTTCAAGCAACGCCGGTCATATTCGCCACGCACCAATGAGGCAACAGAAAAAAGGGGGGGTCAGTATCACGTATGAAAAGAGTCACCTGCAGCCCAACCCAAAGCATGGCTATTCAGAGGCAAATCCCACGGAGATTATTCCACCAGTAAAGATGCATAGGATTGAAACCAGAGAGTGGCTGCTGAAAGCGCGCCCGATCCTAGAGAGATATTCGCAAGTGTGTCTCCTGCGCATAAAACTTCAGCCAGGGAAGCAAGGAGGCTGCCACAATAAGTCCCTGGATTTACTGGCTAAAAGAAATCCCCCCACCCCCGATCATCTCTTTGCCTAGTGGCCATCTCAGAAAAAAATAAAGTTCTGATAGCAATGGCATAACGTCGTGGAAAGCAATAACAAACGCAACATGAGAAAGAAGGACCAGGTAGAAATTTCACTAGAGGAACGGAGGGGGCCACATTCAGATTGATACGGGTGAATTATTACAGGGGAAGTCTCCCTGTGTGAGGCAGAGCGCACAGCGGCCGTTCTCACCTATCTGCAGGTATGACGTCGGCTGGGGCGAAATGACGTCACAGCCACCCTACCCCCTCTTGCAGAAGGAGGATGCTTTGCCCCGGATCCTGTCTGCTAGAAGGAGCATCCACGCATCCACCTTTCAGAACATGTGGGTTTTCCACGCTTGGAAGGAAGCGCGCTTGGTTCCTCGTGGGTCTCCCTCCTCCCTAGTAAATACCCTCAGACTTTGCCTGGAGAAACTGCGCGCCTTTGAGCCAGGCTGTCAAGATGCGCCCATGGTCAGGATGCCGCTCCTTTGGAGTGCGCTGTTTCAGCGCAAGAAAAGTCGAGGCTGCGGCGGGGAGAGGGGCGTCGTTCTCTTCCCCCCAAAGTTCTTTCTTATTCCTCTATCCTTTTCTCAAACCGCCTCTCGCCCCCACTGGTTTCGTAAACGATTTAAGGAACAAGAAGAAACAAGGTTGGAGGGTTCTGTATAACCCAAAACGAGTTTGCAAGACAGAAGTGAGCAGGGACTGGGGGGAGGGGGACTCCCAGCGTTGTTCCATAAATACAAAACAAACACAATAAAAAGGTGAGCGATCCTCGACTGCGATTGACTTTAAATACTTGTTATCTAGAGTGAAAACAATTCCCGTCCATGGGCGTTTGTGTACTATAAACGCCTCGCCCGGAGGGAGGCAGGATCCAAGGAAGCAGCAACAGCCACGGATGATGAGATCAACCTCCGATTCGGACTGGACAGTTTTCTTTCCGGATAAAGCGTGAGTAGGGGGCGGGGGGAAAGGCTGCGGGATCCGCTCGGGCTACCGATCCGATCCGCCGATTCGTCTTTAAAATGCCTGAAAGCAGCGAGCTTTCGGGTTGCACAGAAGTCCTCGTCAGGCCGAAGAAGGGCTTGGGATTGACCCTCAGTAGAAAATCCCTCACACATCCAGCTGTACGCGCTTTCACGCTACCTCCACAATATCCACCCTGCTTCCTCCTGATTCCGCAGAGAGAGCCAAGTTATTTCAAATCCATCAATCAGTCAGAAACTGGAATTTACGGAGATCGCGACAGAGCAACTGCAATACTTTCTGGGGAAATCAGCGGGACGCGTCTGGGGTAGCCAATGTGAGCGTGTGTGCGTGTGTGTGTGTGTGTGTGTGTGTGTGTGTGTGTGTGAACGTGTTTTAGACGTGTTTTAGGGTCAAATGCTCTAGGAGCAAAACGAGAAAGAAAGGGGAGGGATGCTTTTGATCCTGAATAAGAGGGGAAACCGTTCCCAACCGAAGCTCTGAAAACGACTCAGCGTCCTCTGGAATCTTTCAAAATCGTTTCCGCACCCCTAATTTCTACTAGCAGGGAACAAATCCCACTCCGAATTTAAGTGGGGTTACTTTTGCCACTCGGCTACCAACCCCTGATTTGCCCCTCACCCCCTCTGGGCCAGTACTCCGGAGAAAGAGGGAAGGGTCCATTGCGATCCTGAACGAGGCCTGCTGTGAGCGCAGCGCTATCGGTTCCACGGAGTCCCGACGCAGTTAGCAAGCCTGACACGCAAATCCCTGTTCAGACGTGGAACGGAACCAAGGGGTAAAAACTGGGCTGCTCCATTTCAGAGTGCTGGATCCCGCTTATACAAACCAGATTGCAGGGAAGATGGGTATCCAAATTCCTTTCCCGTGAAACACCTGGGGGTTTTCGGTGAAAAAGCATGCCAAAAGGCATCGGTTTATATTTGCACCTTCGGCCTGAAGCGAAATAGTCCCGGAAAAACGTCACCACTTGATTCTGCCACAGGCATATAAACGGGGTCTCGAGGTGGGCGAATCGTTGCTCAACGTTGGCATGGGGGGCCAGGGGGCAGCTGCCCTCCTAAATCAAGTAAATAAATAAAAATACTTAACTAACTGACCAACTGTGTCGCAGATAACTCGATTCTGCCTCCCCAACCCACCCACCCACCCCCAAAAAAACACATCTTGGCTACGCCCA